TCAGCAGTCTAATGCTGGAAGTGATCAGGATTATCACGACAGAAATCAAGAAACTGGATGTGCTCAACATCTCCCGATTGCGAAAACGAGGTCAAACCATTACTGTAAGGCCAGAGAAAACGGAGATCAAGCCCAAGGCCACACCATCTTGGTAGCTGTATCTACTTTAGATTTTGTTTAGCCTAAATAGGATCCAATAGAATTTGGTTAGCCTGGCGTCTCTTAAATTAGCGAAATATTACACAAAGCCGAATGTTAGTTCAAGTGACCATATAGCAAACAATCAGCTATAGCGGAGACAATAAATAAGGAATGAAGTTAATGCGTGAAAATTAGCAATCAGTAGAACAAATTGTAGACAATCTCAAAATTAAAAAGCGAAAAAATCTACTATCAAGTGTAAAATCCGAGGGAAAGTGAATTTAATATAATTATGTTCTTATTAGAAAATAAGATAAATAGCTAAAATTTTTTACTTACACAAGTGATCAACAAAAGTAAGAATTTGCTTAATGTACAAGTGTGAATCTATTTATTCTTCAGCATTTGCTATGCATATCAAAAAATCCAATGATAATGAATAAATAGGGTGATTTAGCATCTAATTGCTGTACCTATGGTCATAAATAATCCGAAAGTGCCACCGCCCTGGAGCATGTTGCGACCGACTGTGGATACGAGTTCACGACCCCTCAAGCCCAATCTGAATAACAAGGTCAAGTTGGAATCAAAATCAACAATTACGAAGAACACAAAATGAATCAAATTCTTATAATAAGGACAATAGATGATAGGCTATAACATCCTATGAAACTTACCTAAAACATGTGAAACCACCAAATATAGCACCACTAGCCATTCCAACACAGAAGCCCATCATAAAACCCAGTTTCATTCTAGTAAAGCAGGAGGGTTGAGTTCCAATCGCACCGTAAGCTCCTGATGGCACTGGCATATTCCTAAAATAAAGACTTATTAAAAAATACGAACTGAACGGTAAAGAAAGAAGAGGTACCAATCAAAAAATTTATTCAGATATAAAGAAATAAAGCATCACAAATTAGTATGACAGAAAGTAAATCTCAATCCAGATGAACTCAATCTCTCGGTGTGAATTCATCCGCTAAAGAACCTGAAACGTTGTAAGAAGATAGGTCATACGTTATCATTAAAATGACGACAAGCATATTCCAAAATGCAAGAAATATTCTAAGATATTTGGATTTAGCTAACAGATTCCGTATTTTGTCACCTAGGCAAGATGATAATGAAAGAGAACAAACCTATCGTTGGCATCCTTAATTCATCATACACGCCATAGTTTTCACTGAATAAACAATATAAGGAGTCACTTACTATTGAAAATTCAATATAGCACATGAATTTAGGAGAAGAGTCCTGCAAAATATACTTCCTTAAACAAACTTTACATTGAAACGACAACATCAGATATCATGCTGAAGACTTCAAATCGCCCGGAGCATACTGTTAAAGTATTACTTGTCAAATTAATTGCGCTACATTATTCGCCTTTTTATACATTATTTTTAATTTAGAGTTTTTAAATATTTGATACTAACTTTATGAGCTGATGGTGCCTGCGTCGTTTGTATAGTATGACTTCGAAGGATGATGAATATGATTATCTCTTTAAAAGTAACTATTGTGTACTTAAATTATATGCTCAAATTGTGTTAAGTTGTGCTTATAGGAGATTCTGGAGTTGGCAAGAGTAATTTACTTTCCAGGTTCACCAGAAATGAGTTTAATTTAGAGAGTAAAAGCACAATTGGTGTTGAGTTTGCTACTCGGTTAGTTTTGTGGTAGTTTACTTTTTTTTACAGGAGCGTTTCCATTGAGGGTAAGACAGTTAAGGCTCAAATATGGGATACCGCCGGTCAGG